CCCACACACACACACACTCTCTCTCTCTCTCTCACACACACTCTCTCTCTCTCTCACTCACACACTCTCTCTCTCTCACACACACACTCTCACACACCGACTGATTTCACATGTAATGCATAGCTTTAGAAAATAAAAAGTCCCATACGTTTCCTGTTTTTATGTTTCTTGCAGGATAACGTGGTGTGTCTGTCTCCACGGCTCGCCCAGAGTCTGGGAAACATGGGTCAGGTGTGTGTCTGCATCCGGGTCACCAGCTCTATACACCTGATTGACCCCAACACCCTGCAGAGTGAGTTACTGCTAACACTAACCAAACCACTAAACCAATCGCTCGAGTTCATCTCATATCAAACCTTTCACATCAAACAGATGTGTTCAACTCTCAGAGCTCCAGACTAACATTTGGGTGCGCTGGCCTCAATATTGTCCTCAATATCAACAGGAAATAAATAAAGCAACAATAAAAGAACCAGAATATAGAATAAAACATAGAAAACTGACTTACACACAGCTTCACACCATATTGTTATACTGATAAGCAACTTAAAAAACAATTTTTTACAAATATGAATGCTGGTAGCCTCTTTTACTTCAGTTGGTATACAATTCCAAATTTTTGGAGCATAATAGCTAAAAGAAGTACCACCAGATCGTTTATGATTTACTGTAATCTTTTTTTGTTTCATTACAAATCTGCTGACCCCAAACTTTTGAACGGTAGTCTATATTGTTACAAAAGATTTCTATTTTGAATAAATGCTGTTATTTTTAACTTTTTATTCATCAAAGAATCCTGAAAAAAGCATCACAGATTCCAAAAAAATATAAAACAGCAAAACTGTTTCCAGCACTGATAATAAATCAGCATGTTAGAATGATTTCTGAAGATCATGTGACACTGAAGACTGGAGTAATGATGCTGAAAATACAGCTGCGCATCACAGAAATACATTACAGTTTAACAGATATTCACATAGAAAACAGCTATTTTTAAATTGTGATCATATTTCATAATATTACTGTTCTTACTGTATTTTTGATCAAATGAATGCAGCCTTGGTGAGCTTCATTCAAAAACATTAAAAAAAAAAATCTTACTAACCCTAAATGGTTGAAGTGCAGCATAATGTTTGATTTGTTGTTAGGGTTGCAAAGGGGTGGAAAATTTCCGGAAACTTTCCAAAAATCCCTGGAATATTCCCAAAAATCCTGGAAAGTTTCAGAAATGTACTGACAATTTTCCACCTTTTTGCAACCCTATTTGTGACCCTGGAGCACAAAAGCAGTGTTAAGTCGCTGGGGTATATTTGTAGCAATAGCCAACAATACATTGTATGGGTCAAAATTATCAATTTTTCTTTTATGCCAAAAATCATTAGGATATTAAGTAAAGATCATGTTCCATGAAGATATTTTGTACATTTCCTACCGTAAATATATCAAAACTTCATTTATGATTAGTAATATGCATTGCTAAGAACTTCATTTGGACAACTTTAAAGATGATTTTCTCAATATTTAGATTTTTTTGCACCCTCAGATTCCAGATTTTCAAATATTGTCCGATCCTAACAAACCATACATCAATGGAAAGCTTATTTACTCAGCTTTCAGATGATGCATAAATCTAAATTTTGAAACATTGACCCTTATGACTGGTTTTGTGCTCCAGGGTCACATTAATGTGAGTGTGTTTGATTTCAGTTGCTGAGGTGGATGGGAACACGTTCTGGCGTCATCCGTTCAGCAGTCTGTGTAGCCCGCGGCAGCTGGAGGAGTTCATCGTCATGGACATCGACATTATCAGAGGTCAGCGGTTAGGAGCCGGCGCCGGTCTCACGTCCAATAAGGTAAGAGACGTCAGGTGTGCAAGTAACAACACCTACATACTCCAATAAACTAGAACTGCTCCAGCTGTGCTCTTCAGGGCTGCACGATGATGGTTAAACGGTTCAACATGATTATTGTGTTAAAAAATCTCACAAATCAAAAGAACGTCAACTTGCATGGTTTGCTTGCAGATTTAATCACAGCGAACAGCGCAAACAACCCTGTGAAAGAAAACAGATTGGATGCATTACACTTTTATTGGAGCAGAATATCTTCGTAGAGATTGCTAAACTTTTTGCCTAATGTTGAGATAGTTGCCAGGTTGGGAATATTAAGTAAACCATTTGGCAGAAAATTATCGATTTAAGAGAAAAGCTCTGATTGGGGGATTTAAAGGGATAGTTCACCCAAAAATGAAAATTAGCCCATGGTTTACTCACCCTAAAGCCATCTTAGGTGTGTTTGACTTTCTTCTTTGAGACGAATACAATCAGAGTTACATTAAAAACAACTTCCAAGCTTTATAATGGCAGTGAATAGGTGTTTTTTTTTTTTCATTAGTCCAAAAGAAGTCCAATAAAGTGCATCCATCCATCATAAAAAGTGCCTCACACGGCTCCGGGGGTTAATAAAGGCCTCCTGAAGCGAACCGATGTGCTTTTGTAAGAAAAATACCCATATTAGAAACCGTAATCTCTAGCTTCCGCTAATTGTCGTACGCTACAGTTAGCGGAACCCATATTATGGATGCGCTTTATTGGACGTCTTTTGGACTATTGAAAAATAACACCCATTCACTGCCATTAAAAAAATATCCTGGCTCTTCCAAGCTT